CAAAGACGCCAATGACAGACGAGGCAAAGACAAATCTGCAACTCGGGGTCATATTTACTAATTTAGACTTGCCTGCAGCCTGTTGCGATTCCGATGAAAAATTACAGGACTTTCGCGTTCACCCCTCGTTTACGCAATTTATATTTATTTTTCAAGGATTTTTCATCGGAATCGCAACAGATTGCAAGCATGTCTAGGTCATATTATGACCAACCTCGCGAGTGGTTCGAAAGGGACGATTAGGCTGGAATATTCGCATCAACGATACGCGAGACCGTTGAGGGCCGGTGATCAGACGAGGAAGGGAGTACAGGAAATCTGTTGCTCGTCGACATCGGCCAAATAAACAAAGCCATCGTTTCCGTTTATGCAGAGAGCATGCACCCATCCGTTGACACTGCCGTTTTAGTTTTCTATCGTCTGCAGTAGTTTCAATTCACACAGCTTTACGTTTTTTCTCTCTTAATATTCTTAATAAAACGATATTGATTGCCTAGAAACAGTTTGACCCGCTACACGCTTTATTCGGGAATTCAAAGTGATGAATATAGTCATAACAAATTATGCTAATGACAAAAAAAAACGTAACATCGTGTGAAACGTACTTCCCGCTCTACTCGCTTTAAAACTGCCGCCTATGCTAATGAGCATAGTTGCGGACAAAGCCTTACAACTTCAAGATGGCGTTAATGTTACCAGCTCCCTGATGTTACACCGTAATATTAAGGCAGCCAACACAAACGTGCATGTGTTTTGTACCCCCTTTCACCCCCTCCGGGGGATGTTATATATGTTAATAAATCAATGTTAAATACTTGCTGATTACCGAACCGTGCGGCATGTCGTCGGTAAATACATGTTTACCGTAGTTCGCGAGCAGTCGGCAAAATAACCATCAATCGACCATTGAGATTCGTGCTTTTCGACCAACCAACCAATGGGAATCGTGCTCTTTGCAGAGTGACACTGCGATCCTGTCGCAGAGTGCAATACTCGACATTCGGCGAGTCGCACAATCGCATCGCAGAGTTAGTTTTTAGACCCCCATACATACCTCACAGACTTGCTAAATCTTGCTAAGCATTCAAAAGAGATAATTTTGCACCTGTTATCTATATTTTAATTTTTTGAGTATGTTCCACTATTCACAATTCTACAAAATTTCAACAGCCTATAGCCAAGACTATTTGGATAATAATGAGCAAAAAAAAAAAAAAAAAAAATTCACTCCCAACTGCCCACGAATCTGCTGCATCTCTACCTTAATGAATATATATTCAGAACTTAACTGAAGGTATTCACTTTATTTGGGGATTTTAGGAAAAAATAGGTTAGAAAGACTACTGCTTGGCCATAATTCACATATTTGAGTACCCCAAATCGACATGTCACAAATAAATGTTAAATTTGATATAAGTGAGAATTTATGAACCATAAAATTTAGGTTAGATTGTTTTAGCCACTGCAATGTGTAGCTAACTCAGAACAACTTGTTTGCTCTCCCGAGATTAACATTTTCAGGTGCAGCACCCCCAGTGGTGGATGTGGAGTATAAAACCAATTAATTCAAAATAAATGTTCACATTTCTATTACTGTAGATGGGTTAATTATTCACTGGGTTTTAATTTTGCTTATTTCGCTGACTGGAAAATGCGCTAAATTAAAACCCAGTGAATATGTAAAATTTACGATAGAACACATTATCTAAATAATAAAACTGAATTCAAAACCCACTGAATATGCCTGAAATGGTAAATCAGCGAAATTTTAACCCAGTGAAAATTAGTCATTTTACAGTATTTTGAAAACTGACTCACATCCACTAGGTCCATGTCATCAAGTGAAAGTCCATTCTTCTTCAATGCATTGGTTACTGCTGGGACTGGACCAATGCCCATTATATTGGGATCACAGCCTGATACATGGTAGCCAACAACTCTAGCTAAGGGTGTTAAGTTGTGTTTGGTCACGGCATTCTCACTTGCTAAAATCACAGCTCCTGCACCATCACAAATACCCTGTTTTGAAAAAAATATAAGTCACGCTATAGTAAGTCAGAGTATTTGTATATTGTCATATAAAAAAAATGAATTATTTCTTACATTTATACAATTTGAGATAAAAGTGCAATCAATTATCAATGGTACAATGAACTTGTTTGCGTCTGATGTTTCAATGATGAAGTAAAACGATTAAGTGGCAATTACCAATGTGAGCTTTTCAGGTGTTATAGTATCCTATTATTAACTTTGAGGTAGGATTTCAAGTATATAACCTAGTTACTCTGCTCTTTTTGGTCACTTGAAATCATTTTTTTGCTTTGCTTAAAATGATAAAACAGAAACAGCACAAGGACACATCACACACAAAATATTTCAGAAAATTAACGCATGTTGAAGCAACCACAAACATTAAACACCGGGCCCTGTACGAGTATCTGAACAAATTATTCGACAATTTCAGAACTTCAATTGCTCATGTGATGCAATAACACAAGCTAATTTTTAATCTAGATGCCAGTTTATTTTAATTGCACATTGCAAGAGGTAATAATTGTTTAATAAAAACTGTCAACAGACAATTGAAAATGCACCATGTGTGCAATTCATGTCTTATCAGCATAGAATTCCAAGACGTAGATTTCTCATTTTTTTTACCAGAATTGGTCAAGATGACAGAAAGATAATCTGCTACAGCATACATCTTTCATACAAAGACAGAGACGAAGACTTACTGAAGCATTTCCAGCAGACACTAAACCATCTTTTTTAAATACTGGTGGTAATTTAGATAAGGCTTCTAGTGTTACTTCTCTTGGATGTTCATCAGTGTCCATGGCAACATCCTTCTTTTTAATCTTCAACGTAACTGGTGCCATTTCTTCTTTAAAAAAGCCTGCATCATTGGCTGAGGGCAAACAATGCAATGCAAAGATTTCACGATACAATGGACAATATTTTGATTTTGTACACAGGGAAAGAATGTTGTATTTACAGTACAATCAAAATCATTTGAGATATGTGAAACGTCTTCCAACAGCAGCAAGGTAATCATTTCAAAGCATGGCATCATCAGTACTACTAGTCAAAACAAATAACCAGGTCCAGAATTCAGACACAGTCATTTATGCATTCAGAGAAATAAGCAGCTTTATGACCCGCATTCATCACAAGATTGGGTTGGGTTTTGCTTCTGCAGTAACAACTGAATACCAGTATTACTAGTCAAAACAAATGACCAAAAGGCCATCCAGCTGTGCAGAATTCAGACAGTCATTTGTGCATTCAGAGAAATTAGCAGCTTTATGACCCATATTTATCACAAGAACTGTACAGTCTTGCTTTTCGATCAACACTGGGACCACTGCGTCAGCGGTAGCACTTGAATACCAAGGGAAAGTGTTCTACGTTTTTTGTGTACATGCATGAGAGATTTTTCCAGGCAAAAAAGCAGAATGTTGTTGAATTGTTGTTATATTATATATTTTGTTATACTTTATATGTTACTGCTTGGTTGTAAAAGCTTTTTCGCATTTATTTTATTACAACTTGAGTGTGCATTAATGCTGTATGCATGTTAATCTTCATTCTACATCAGCTCAGCATCTCCAGGTTCGTCATACAGTTCATGAGCACTGCAAATTGTCAGTTATCATGCTGACATATTTGTTAAGCAGAGTAAATGCCGTAATATGGGCACTGTTACATAGAACTGAAAAGGTTGCATGCCATGACAATGTGACACATTTTGGGTTCCCAGAAATGTTAAATTTCATACAATTTTATTTTGGTGGTGTTCTGGGTGTTCTGATTAAATTTTTTACTAATTCAACGTGTCACTGAATGTGATTATCTTTGCATCTCCATGTACACCAGCAATAACATGTGTGATTATCATTGATACACAGTGACTTTCTAAAAATTATAATCAGATGACAACCTTGATCAAAGAGGTGTCTAGATTATTATCCCCAAGACACCTGTCAAACTAATTCTGTACTAAACTACAGGTAAAATTACTTAAACTATATTCTGACAGGAATGGCAATCCCAGTACATGACGAGGAAAACGAAAAATGGGTCGACAGCATAAATGAACAAGCAGACACGATCAGACAATCAATTTGGCACGACAGGAGTATTTACCAAAAGCAGTTAGAAATAAAATAATGGCATTCACTGTTTTAACAATTGAATGTGTATCACAGTTTCCCTCACAAGCCACAAAATGTTCCATGAACTTCTCTACAAAAGTGCCTGACATAAGAAATTCCAGAACTAAAATAAGTGATGATACGACTTTACCTGCTCTCCATCTTTGTTGTGAACTGAGTGCAAATTTATCACAATCTTCCCTGGTAACGCCATACTTAGCACCAAGTGTCTCAGCTGTGATGCCCATAGGCGTCTTTATATGATAATCTGTCAAGGTAGCCCATAGTTGATCCTCTAGCTGCACACGGGCAATAAGAAAAATATTATTGAACAGACTTATCACACATAACACATACAATAGCTCACTGGTTTTATTTCCAATCTAAACAGTCCAGCTCATATAGATAATCCTTTTTTCATCAATAACATATAACACAGACAAGAAATGACAGAGCAAGCCCAAAATTGGTGGTGCTTTTCCCTAATCAGAAACAGCAACAACTATTTCTGGTGGGGCACATGTGCACAGAACTACAGTTTTGATTTGCAACATGTGTGGTATGTACACTTGGAACGAATGGTTTGGGTGTGCACAGTTTTTTTTTTCATTTCTGTTTAGTTAATACATGTATGAACATTAAAGCATTATTTTGATGAGCCGAAGGTGAGGATAAATTCCTATAAATAAATGAGAGGATGGATGAGAACACTTTTTTTAAATTAAGGTCTCAATTGGCCACGCCTCATTGCTTGGGCATCAGTATTTTCTTTGCTTGGGCATCAGTTAGCCATTTTGCAAATTAGGTAACAAATTTGATAGCCATCTTGAAAACTGCAGCTCCATGTACGTACATGTGCACCCACTCCGCAAGTATGAAATGACAAACATCCTTGGCAAGCATACCAGGGATAGGGTGGTCAAAGAGTTTTGTGGAGAACATTGATGAAAGTCTGCAGGTAGCAGTGCAATCTCAGCTGGAGTCTAAAAGTGATATCTTTGAATACAGTGTAACATACATACATGTACCAGTAAGCACAATGCATTGAAGGTGATGGGGGTTAGGACACAGGCCCATTTTAATGCCCTCATATACATGTGTAGTATATTATCCTACCTCATAGTTCTGTCCAAGTTTAGTACCAAAACGAACACCCCTCACGACAAATGGTGCCATACTCATGCTTTCTGATCCACCAGTTAAAACGATTTCCGCATCACCAACCACAATGTCCTGCAACAAATCAATGCAAATGTGAACATGCATTCCGACAGATGTTATACATTGTAAGAAGGAGTTTCACTTGTACATATAATCATGGACTGGACTGGAAAAGGGGTTTTGTTAAGAAGCAACTGTCAGCTTAAACTTTTCACCACAAATTCACAAAATAGTCTTGTTTATAGTCTGCAATTTCCTCAGATAATTGGGACAAAAATAGCAAAATTTGCAAGTAAAAACTGGAAATCAACTCAAATTGTGTCTGTTGGTTCCAAAATTAGGGTTCATTTCCTGAAATATTGAAGAATATAAGAAAACAAAATTTGGGCAAGAAAGTCTGGCGATGAAAAGGTTAGTAGCTGTCTGCTTGGCTAGTTCAGCCAACCTAAAGAAAAGTATCATATTTTCATAAATACAAGTATCATCTAGCCACCTACTCCAGAAATTAGCAAAACCTCTGTAGAAAAATATAGCATAAGCTTGTATGTGTACCACATGCATATGGTGCAGTGCTACAAATTAGTATCAGCCTCTTTTTAGTTAACTTAGGAGCCTAGAATGTGAAATGGTTTTGCACACATGAAATGGTGGGATATACATGAAATGATATCATGTATTTATAGCAAAATAAAAACTAAGCATCCCTATAGCCAGTTTAGTGAATGCCTTGCATATGACCATTTCAGCCTGTTCTTGCTCAAATTGCAATGGTGTTTTATCATATGCTGCAGTTACATGTATCAGACCACATAGGCAGACCCGCCTATTCACATAGCTCATACCCACCATGAACTCCAGGTTCCTCTCGACCACCCCACTTTTCCGTAGCGATTGGCTTAATCCTCGTATATGGAGAAAACCAGAAGTGATCATGGGGCAAGATGGCGAAGGCCTCTTTGCCTCTGTCACATGTTGCGTGACATGGAAGAAAATCTATGAGGTCATGGGGCTTCCTCTGACTTAGATTTCTCTCTCCGTCCTTAGCTGAATTGCAGATTAATGCCTAAAGTTCAACCGGAGCATATGGTAGGTAATTGAACGTAGTGAATTACCTTTTTCCTTCCTTTTACATTCAACTATTCAAAAAATTAGTAAAAATAAACTTGATAGAAAACTGCCAATACGTTTTTCCAGTGAAAACTAATTCCAGCTAAAAAAAATGTTTGTATAGTATTAAGTTATTACACTTACCTGACATCCATTGACAATTGATTGGAAACCAGAACCACATAATCTATTGACAGTTAGACAAGGTGTTTCTACATTTACACCAGCTCTCAGGCCAGCGTGTCTGGCAAGATATGAACCATCTTTAGAACTCTGCAATCAACAAACATTTGAAAGTGCACAAACAAATAGCCATAGAACAAGAATAGCCAAAGAACTGAAACTCTGACTTGTCACTATGTTATTGGCATTGATAGTTGCATGTCTCAACATTATTTAATCCATGCAATACCGGTATGAGTAAACACTGGGAAATAAACATGGCCAAAGGGAATGAGAAAAAAGCCATGCATGCCACAGTCCATGTTAGTTATCAAATCTAAGTTATAAAGTTTTGTTTATAGTAATACAGAACAAGTAATTAAAACAAGCAGCCTGTCGGCTGAGATAGCTCCGCTGTTAGCAATGCACATTGCAATTAAAAAACAGAAGATATCATTAGAAAATGAACAATATGTATAGCAATTGCAAAGCAATTGGACTTAAAAATATCAATTTTCACCAAAAATGACAAAAATATTCATCAAAATTAGATAATTGAAAATATCATCAGGAAATGAACAAATCTGAGAAAGGTCCACATGTAGTACCTACATGTATGTGTATAATATCAAAGCAATTGGACTGGTGGTTTTTAACAAGAAGTCCAAAATATCACTTTTTACCAAAAAATACAAAAATATTCAGCAAAGTTAAAGAATTAAACAAATGGACAAATCTAAGAGAGGTCTACCCAAGGTACATATGCACCAAGTATCAAAGCATTCAGGCTTGTAGTTTTCAAGAGGAAGTCGAAAAAGTAAAACATTGACACGAACGACAGACACCAACAGACAATCACTCATATGATAAGCTCCGCTCAATAAAGTCGACGGCCACCAGTCGGTCTTTTTGAAACTAATTGTCAAACCAATACAAATGTATATCTATGGCATGATGTATAATGAATATATAAAATGTAAAATCGGTCAAAGCATGTCAAAGATATGGCACTAGAACCACATTCATTACAAGTCATTGAAAATGACACAATCCCCGTTAAATTAAGTTCTCTTTGTGCTCATCATATTGAAGCGGAGGGGTTGTCGCGAGCGTGTCCTTGAAACTTGAGTTCCAAGTGGCGTATACAACAGATTGTTTATTTACATCAAAACACATGTTCCGTGTAGTAGTAATATGGCCAAAAATAAAAACGGCCGTTATTCGGCCATCTTTGATCTGATTATGAAACACACTGATACGTATGATGTATGTGCCAAATACGAATGAAAATGGTACATAAATTGTGGAAATATAGTAGTAAGGCCAAAAAGTCAGATGGCTGTCAATCGGCCATCCTTAACCAGATTTTGAAACAAATTGTCATGGACATGCATCCTAACATGTATAAAGTACATGTATGTGCCAAATTTTAATGAAAACTGACAGAGCACGTCCAAGATAAAAAATGCCTGCCAGTCGACCAGTTGATCCAATTGCGAAATAAATCGTATATCTATGACATGTTTAATGAATATTTCAAATTTGAGATATGGCACTAGAACCACCTTCATTAAAACAAAATGGCTGCCATTCGGTCATTTTGAATCTTATCTGAAAAACAAAATGACGTGCATCAATGTCCAATGTATATACCAAGTTTGAAAAAATCCATCTGTAAACAGCGGAGAAATTGTTGATTTTCGTGATTTTTCAGCACAAGTTTGAATGACAACTGACAAAGCATGTCTATAATACAACATTTTCAAAAAACAAGATGGCTGCCAGTCGGCCATTTTGAATCAAATTGCTAAACCACTGCATGTGCATATGTCCCACATAAGGTACTAGGCACATGCAAAGAATGAACGGAATCGGTCCAAGGGATTCTGAAATATGACTCTTGGACAGACTGAGGGACGGACGGACACACGGACGGACAGACAGACTCAGGAACTCGCGAACGGTCGGGGACATGTATCCTAACATGTATGATCTATGTACTAAATTTGAATGAAAACTGACAAAGCATGTTCAAAATACAACATTTTCAAAAAATAAGATGGCTGCCAGTCGGCCATCTTTGATACAATTGTGAAATAAATCGTCATGGACATGTATCCACCATTCTGCCATTTTGAATCAAATCGTTACACCAATTCGTATATCTATGACATGATGTTTAATGAATATTTCAAATTTGAGATATGGCACTAGAACCACCTTCATTAAAACAAAATGGCTACCATTCGGTCATTTTGAATCTTATCTGAAAAACAAAATGACGTGCATCAATGTCCAATGTATATACCAAGTTTGAAAAAATCCATCTGTAAATGGATGCCATTTGGCCATCTTGAACCTGATTGTGAAACAAATTGCTGTGCATATATATAACATTATGTATGATGTATGTGTGAAGTTCGAATGTAATTGGTCAAGGCGTGTCTAAGATGCAGGTCCAGACTCGCGCACACACGGATGCAGACACAGGGACAAATGGACGCACAGAGATCAATCCATAAGCCCCCGTTTTCGGACTGCATCCAAATAGGGACTAGCTTCAGCATAATTTATTCAGCTTGAAGTTTTTTGGGGTATATCCCTTTAAACACCAAAGTCAACTTTTTTCACTTTTATATAACGGTAGATAGATATAAATCATATGATTCTGGGCTGCAATAATGTCAGTCAAAATCATTACTGTAGTATTTTCAGTGAAAATATACATACATGTACTATAATATATTTGATCATTTGTAATATTTTGATCTCTATTTTTTTATATAAATTGGGTTGCACAAAAGTGATTATTCAAGACAATGTGGACAATCACTGTTGCCGACCAATACATTCAATGAATGACAATCTTTATTTAAAACTTTCCAGTAAACAGCTGCTGTATGATAAATTAGTGAAATATAACATACTTACTGGTGCAACATTTCCAAATATGACAGAATCAATCAACTTTGGGTCAATTTTACCAGAAGCAAGAGCAGCTTTAGCAGCTATCTCTGCCAAATCAGTGGTGGTGTGATTCTTTAATTTGCCACCAAAGGCACCAAATGGTGTCCTCTTCGCTGCTACAATAAAGACACCTTGTAAAGAAAAACAAAACAAGTAGAATACAGTCAGATTTAAATGAATCAATTTTAAAGCTTTACAGTATACTGCTTGAGGTTAGGTGTCAGTTGGAAATCAGTCCTTCAACAGAAATATGCAATTCGTATGCAAGGACTGTGCTTCACACAGCAGTTCAGGGACAGTATTTATGTATGCATCTCAACTGTGAGTGCTAAGTCTCTAAGTTGATTCAAACCTACAAAATATGCATGTGCGACATCATTTATATATTGGTACTTATCATACATGATTGTATATCACCACACTATCTCAGGCTAATTTGCCATTTAAAACTGCATTTATCTTAATTTTCTTTAACTTTTATTTTTGTTAATTTTTAAAATTTATTACATAACAGCCTAAAATGATTTGTTAACTTTCATTATGGTGTAATATAAGAAATTATTATTATTATATTATTCTCAAACCACTGAAGCTTTCTTTTTATTCATCAGTGGTTACAATTCCCCAAATTAAAACTTGGATTTCATCACAGACACAGTCTGGGAACCCTTAACAGTCTGCAAAAACACTTGTTGCCAAAGAGAGAAAATGGAACGCCCTAAACAAGAGAATTTATCAAAAATGCCGTCCCGCGAAACACTTTCGAGTTGTTTCAAAATTATTCGTGTTGTGTGCACTGAGGTCAAAAGACTACTTTTACTTCCACCACAGTCCAGTCTATAGAGGGACAATGCTTCCACGTTGTAAGCGAAAACGGGTGTTACTTTACATTCAACACAACGTGCTTAAGGGTAAAATTGAAATCCCATTTTCAAGGTGAAGAAGCAAACTTTTACACGAGTAGCCCTCCCAGGTCAATTTACCAGACAAACTTCTTGAAACAAGGTCTTTGACCTGACAAGGTCTTTGACCTGACAAGGTCTGAAGGCTACACAAACTCGCGGTCATGAACTGGCCACGAAGACAAGAATATTTAGCTATGTGAATAAATATGGTTAGCTTCTGTTGGAGCAGGTAAATGTTCCTATCACACCGTAATAAAATGCGAGTACTTGTCGGTGAATTTTGCGTAGGATACACCATGTTTTTCTAATGAACTTTGTCTTACCTCTTGCAAGCGCCATGTCGACGGACCCGTGTACAAATTACGCCCTCATTCGGAAACTGGAGAAAACACTGCACAAACATTGATGACGTTCTACACAACACATTAAAAAAATAATTGTATGACAGTAAACGTAAACATGCCAGACGACCGGTGGATGCCCAGACTTAAATCTAAGATATCACAAGAACGTGCGTTCGTCCGGTTTTTAAATCGAAGCACCAGGATAGTCGATGTGTTTTGGATAAATTTCCGTGGCCAACGAGTAAATTACGTACGAAACACAGCAGGACTTTGCCCTGGTCAATATTTTGAAGTGAACACGTTTGCAGGTCATCCGTGGATCTTCAGAGACCGTGAAACGAATGATAAACTACAATGTGGATCACAGGGTCAGGAGGTCTATTTTCCAGTAGGCTGGAATGGGGAGTTTCCCCCAAGCAGGACAAATGTCCTTATTGATGTTCCAGGTATGTGCTTGCTATATATATATATATATATATGATAATTATATTAAAGGGACATTTGCTTAAGGGGCCGTGGTGGCCGCGCAGCGCGTGTTCGAATTT